CATGTGAAGGAAAAACAGATTTAAGTAATTTTATGCCATCTCGCGAGCAGCTTGCGTACTTGAAGTCACGTTCATACTCACTTGACTGGACTTTATCTCAGGTGGGACATTTACCTTCCGGCATTTGGGCATTTATATATTGCGCAGAAAGTGATTGCCCGTAATAGCATGGCCGGAGGCGCTGGTCAAACGCTGATATGAATTAATGACTAGGATTATAATATGAGCTAACTCGAATTTCAGGGCAGGCACCGGGTTGAAAGAACAGAGAATGTCTCGTCGCCACTCAGCTGAAGAAAAGTCTACCGTAATGAGATGTTAAGACGAAAATAACCTAACTGATCTTCATTCTGCCAGGATGCACCGCGATGCTTTGAGGAAGCCCTGTAACGAAAACAATTATAAAAAGACCGTACAGTGCTACTACTGTTCGAGTTGCCCCGGGCCCCGAGGGGCCATTTTCCCAGTAGGGACATGGTCAGGGCTAGCGATTTACATTGGCCGGGTCGCCTTGGTCAAACAGGGGCTCCCTGTGCCGGTGCCTAACAAGACGTCCCAGTGTTTGCAAAAGCCCCGAGTTGGCCAAGGGCAGTGTTCGAGCGCGCCAGAAGACGGGCCTGAATGGCCCTTCAGTACAGACGATCAAGGTCCTAATTGGAACACTGAAAATCCCGAACGGCTCGCTTTAGATCACACTAAGGATTCCGGCCCTACGGGTCATAACATTACATGGTATTCAAAGGGCCTCTTGCATCGATGAAACCATCCTGAAACAATCCGGGCCTCTATGTTTTGCATTGGTCGGAGTTCCTGTAAAAAGGAGAGGTCCCTGTATAGCCCAGGGTTCGGTGTTGCTGTGTGCCGTCCGCAGCTGCGCTCAGTCGGGCGCGACGGCAGCTAGCCCAGCAGTTCATAGTGCCATACACTGGTTCTGTGTTGGCAACGGGTTCGGAGCCGGGCAGAAGAACATTTGCTGAACAGGAGCAGGGACGGGGCCATGAACCTGGATGGCCTTTTGCATTAGGCGGGGTCCGTTGAGACGAAAAAAGGAGATATGAAAACTCATGACGAGAGTTACAATGAGACAAAAGTGAGACCGTTTGGCAGCCAGGGTCCCGGTACCGAATGGGGCCCCCACCCAGTTTTCGCCAGGGGACCGTTAAGCCAAACTGGAGCCTCTGTGCCCATTAGTTGACCCCTGTGGCGATAACGAGTCTTGTTGCGTTAACGAAGATACCTGCGTCGTTGCGGTGGGAAGTGCCCAGGTCAGAGGATCTTTCATGCCCGGAAAGAGACCCATGTATGGTGTATCCCTCGGAGGACTTCCTGATCGACCAGAGAACCCCTCCCCCCCTTCCATGTCGCTAGAGGGGTAGTTAGTAAGCGCCCCGCACTGGGACCGAATGACCCTCCGGCTCTTGACCAGGAACGGTAATGCGCCCATTGTTCTATCTACGGGGCCCTTTTCCGGAGAAAAGATTAGGGGTCTTATTAGTGTGCAATGGGGTGGATCGAAGTCGGGTCAAAAATGAAGACCACTCTGTTTTTGCCTGAGAACGTCCATCCTGTTGTAAAATCGACAAGTGAAACAAATAGCGTAAATATCACTTGAGTCCCGGCGCTGGCAACCTTCAGAGCAAAACCAGTGGTGGCCGGGGCTGCAACTTCAGCAAAACCGAACGGCGTAGACCGCTTCAAGTGGCACCAGGCGCCGAGCGCGCGCGAAAACTGACCATCGTGAAGTAATGTTTCACAAAGGTCGTTCAAAACAAATTGGTATCGCTCAAAAATTAATCTGGTACGTACAGGCCATCTTAATAAATTTGAAATGCTCTGAAGGGATGATCAGTTATAACAGTAACACGAAAATGAGAGAGTCTCTGCTCACTGTTATAATGCCGCCTTCAGATTTCAGCACCAGATAGCGGGGCCGAAAATGCAAATCCGTTTCTGTCATCAGTCTTAAAATCCCACATGTCAAATCACACCCGGACTACTTTCTAAAGACCTGAATTGGTGCTGTAAAACGTTCGAAGAGGCATTTCAATCGTGTCATTTTCGTCCGTCCGCGGACCCTGGTGTTAGCCTCGGGGCCGACGCCGCTCTGCCAGCGTAGACTGCAACGCTGAGCATTGGATTTTCGTCCCTAAAACTTGCGAGTGCGCATGTTGAAAACTTAACTACATACCCTAATCGATTATGATTGAAGGTAAAGCATGCCTAGGCGAACGGAGGAGGGCCATGCTTATGCAATTTGTTTGATCCATTTCTATCTATAATACACCTTCACGGGATCCTCAATGTATTTGTAGAACCCAGACAGCAATGTGGCAAAGTCTCTGACGTCTAATGGTATAGACAGACCCAGCTGGACAATTGTAAAAATAAATAGCACTGACGGTGTGTTCCATGCAGTGATTGATGCCCGGTTACTTCAGTTTATCGACTTAAAAACACAAACAAAATTACATCCTATGGTAGCTTCTGGCTTCTGTTCAAATTAAAAAAAGGTAAGAATACAAATGAAACAAAGCATATATTGCCCCTCGAAATTAAGTGGCCACATCCCGTAATTTTCGGGGAGGGGGGAGGGCTTCCAGGATAACGGAGCACTCTGTCCACCCTGTGTCCCCTCCCCCCCCCCCCCTCACCAAAGCTGCACCTGTGTCCCTATTTCAGTTCAATAAGGCTCAAAAGCTCTGTAACTAGGGTTTCAGTCAACTGTGAGGTTGAAAATCCGGTTTCTATGCAAGCCTGTGTCCTGGACCGAACCGTGACCTTGAGCATTATTTCAGCGTTGGAACGAACGACGTATGTCATATCGCATGAATCGAATGTTCAGGTGGTGTCTCGTGGTCTCCGAATCATACTGTTCGAAAGATTCTGTTGCTTTTTTAGGCAATGTTTTGTGATCTGATGGATGGTTTTGGAATACACACACATATTTAAAGCACTAGCTAGCGCATTGAATAATCCAATGAAGCAAAATGTTGATGATGTTTGCAAGCGTTTTTACAAAGCCAAGTATTTTCATACTGTGCGTAAATAATTGCTTGATATCATCGTTCAACGAATCCCCTTCGGACACACTGCAAGCCTGCTATTAGCGTAAGACCCCGTAGTAGGACCTCGATGACATACCGACGGCGGCACAAAGTAACTACATAGCATGGCCGTACCACACATGTGGCGAACTGCTCACCGCGCGTCGTCAGCCCACATTAGTGGTCATGAGCCAAAAGCGAAGGAACGTTTCAGAATGTGCGGGTGCTAAAACAAATTTTGAAGTTAATTTTTCCATGCACCGCCGTAGGACTAATGTTCAGCATTCCAGGAAGGGGGAGGGGCGTCATGGCAGATGTCCCCCTACACCTATGTCATGAATTGATAGAGATCGCAAACGTTAGGTGATATACGATTGGGGTTATGAACACTAGCTCCTTTTTAGCATTAGGTTCATTTAAATTTCGGGGCGTACGCAGAAGTTGCACACAACGTTCGCACAACTCGCAAGTTTTCTATTGAAAATATAGTCCAGCATGCCACAAGTGTGCAGATTTCTGTCCTCGTGGCGTAAAACAGCGTCGCGCGTTCGCGACCGCTTATTTTACGTGTACCTGGATTTTGTCACTGTCGGCATTCATCCTTGAGCAGATTAATTCGTGTCACGAATTTCATAAGGGAAAAGGGGTATGCACCCCTCCCCCCCCCCCAAGTTCACTTTGAGAGCAAGCCCTGGTGATCTTTCGGTGGTTCTAAACAAGGGAACCATTGACACAGAAAGTTATTAAAATGGAGGGCTATGAACATAAAGGTTTTGAGCATCATGAACATCATGTGTTATGAACCATTGGAGGTTGCGACCTTTTACGGGTTTTGCACACTGTAGGTCGTGAACATTAGTGAGTTTGAACACCAGTGGTCGTGAATTATTGGGAGCGATGAATATTAGGGGTTTTGATAGTGCACGGTTTCAATGCATTTGAGGCTGCGTACCAGCCCGACCGAGTACAGCTGTGTAGTTCATCGCTAGTTCACTCCCGGGCATTGCTGTGTGCCGTCAGCAGCTGTACTCAGTCGGGTGCGACGGCAGCTCGACTGAGTACAGCTGTGTTGTTAATCGTTGGCTCACCTCCGGGCGTTGATGTGCGCCGTCAGCAGCTGTACTCAGTCGGGTGCGACGGCGCCCCGACTGAGTACAGCTGTGTAGTTCATTGTTGGCTCCTGTCTCTGTCCGGCCACCACTGAACTTGACGCCGGTCGGGCCGGCCGGGCCGGGCCGGCCGCCCTCCGTGGCCGCGCTGATCCGGCCCCGGCCCCGGCCCCGGCCCCGGCCCCCCGCCGCCGCCGCCGCCGCCGCTGTTTGGTCGGGTGATCCAGTCGGTGGCCAGCCGGGGCCGGGTGTGGGCCAGTTGTACGGGAGTGGAGCGCGAGAGAGTGAGAGATAATGGCGTGCCTAGTATGGGAAGCACTGCTGCTGACCGCGGCCCTCCTGCTGTCAGGTAGGCCACGTTTGGACGCATTTCAACAGCATCATGCCACTACGGGCTGTGGTGTCGAGGACAGTGAATCTTCTGAACCCGGATGTCTATGCGATGTGTTTGTGTTATTTTTTTCTGCTCGTTTATTTTGTCACACGTTTGGCTTATTAGGCAAAAGCCAAGACTGAAATATTCATCAGAACTTTTAGTAACCGGAAGTAAATACCTTATGACGCCATGTGAAAAATGGCACGCCCAAGGTTTTCCGAATTCATGTCACAGTGTCAGACGTTTGACCGGTGATGCTGATGCTGCAGTTTTCCGAATTCATGTCACAGTGTCAGACGTTTGACCGGTGATGCTGCTGCTGCAGTTTGCTACGCTATCTTGATATGCACACCAGCTACACGACGCCGTCCGATCAAAAAACATTTCCGCGTCAATTCCAGTGCAGTCAGAGTCAAGAAGTCCCGCTATATTATCTTGGGTTCAACTAGGCGACGCTTGAGGGCATGTAAGCTGAGTATGGATAATGCCAATTTTTGGATAATTTTACAGCTGAAATGCTTCTATTGTGTCCGCAAAGTTTTACGTTCGTTTTCAAGGTCCTCGATATAATTAGATGCATATGCATCGCGTCACGCTGCCATTAGTCAAACGTGATTCGACCGCTGGCCCGACCAAATACTCAATTTTCGTCCCACAATGACAATGTTACACAGTGGAGTAGTCTATTGGATGTTTTACTACCCCTCTGCTCTATCGCCCTTCAGTTATTTACACCAAAGATGTGTGTTGTTTATACCGACGAAATTATATTTCCATTGACCTGTACTGTGAATTGGTCAGTGTCCCCTAACCCTAAAAATTGAATTTTCGTCGATGGAAAGGCCAGGGGCACTGATTTAACCTTGAAATAATAATACTACCCCCTCCTCTCTTTCCCTCTCTCTTTCTATCTTTCTCTCTTCCTCCCTCTCTCTCTCTCTCCTTCTCCCTCTCTCTTTCCCTCCCTCCCTCTCTCTCTCCCTCCCTCTCTCTTTCTCTCCATCTTTCTCTCTCCCTCCCTCTCTCTCTCCTCTCTCTTCTCCTATCTCTCTCCCTTCTCCTTCTCTCTTTGCGGTCCTCCCTCCCTCCATCCCTCCCTCTCCCTCTCTCTCTCTCTCCTCTCCTCTCTCCATCTCTCTATCTCTTCTCTCTCTATTCCTTCTCTTCGCTTCTTCCGTCCCTCCTCCATCTCTCTCTACTATCTCTCTCTCTCTCTCTCTCTCTCTCTCTCTCTCTCTCTCTCTCTCCTCGCTCTCTCTCTCTCTGTCTCTCTCTCTCTCTCCCTCCCTCTCTTCACCAGCTGGCTCCGCGGCGTGGGGGCCCTCTCCCAGCCCACAGGCGTCCGTGCCTGTGCTGACCTCAGTATGGTGAGCGGCGCCGTGTTCACTGGCGCCGGCGGCGGCGCGGCCTGGGACGTCGCCAGCTCACCGTCGGCCAGTCAGTCCACACGTGGCGTGTGTCAGCCATGGGCCGGACCTGCCCGGTCATACTGAGCTGATAGGAAGCCTTCGTCGTGGCCCCCAATCATCCAGCCAGTCGGGCACGACCGATGGAACAGGGCGCCGCGAGCATGGAGAGTAGCCGCTGCGATGGCGCAACGCCGGCGTCTCGCGGCGAAGATCGGTCGGACCGGTTTGGCCTCGGGAGAGCTTGCTCGGCATGACAGCATTCATTTACACCTGACAGGCTGCGGCACAGCATGGTTTTGGCGCCATTAAGCTGATGCTGAATGTGTGTAAATCGGTGTTTAATTATGCATCTAATATGTTGTCATATGAGTTCGTGGACATGGATGTCCTTCTGCAAGCACCTGTCGCTCTTTTCGCTTGGCTAGAATATCTTGGTGACGACGGGAAGAGCCCACACAACCATGACCAAAAATAGCTGGGCCTGGCTGAAGTTGCATGCCGACATTTGCCGCTTCTCAGAAGATCAAGTCGTTCCAGTGCGTATACCATGAGGCACGCTCCATACCTAAGTTGGATGCAGGAAAGAAGGGCCTTGTTCTCCCGGTTATTCGGTATTATGAGCTCACAGCTCTTCGCTGACAGTAAGGGGCATGCCACAAATTACCCTGTGAAGCAAATAAGAGACCGGCGAGTAAGCCTTTGAATTCTATTTTTTGGAAAAACCGACGTTCAGATTCCAGAAGTAGCTTTCTGTCCCCGTCTAATTACAAGCCACGACGCATGCACCGCTAGTCCATATTTCACAAGGGACATGCACAAAACAAAACTGGGCATCATGATTACCCTGTAAGGAGATCCCCTTGGCAAATAACGACAACATTGGGTGCTGATCTGATCATCGACATCTGATCATCATCATCATCAAATTAATTTCTTAATTTACAAGCCAGTCTGGAGACGAAGAAAAGTATTGGGATAGTGATCGCGCGTTGGTCGCGATATTGCGCGCCGTCAATTTTTGATGACTCGACTCAGCTGCATCCACCGTGGACTGAATGCACAGGAGACGGGCAGTCAAGGTCCTGGGAGTCGGAGGCCCGCGGTCTGCAGCCGCCATCTGTCAGACGTCAGCTCCCACCCCGTCCCCTCGCGCGGGGCGACGCCGCACACCGCCACCCCGCTGCCGGCCGTTTTTGCACGCGGTCGCGGTCTAATAATACCCTGAACTCCAGCCGGGCCTCAGTGCTGCGGCTGGAAATGAGCACCGTATCAGGATGGACTATCGCGCCCGTATCAGGGCGTGAGCTCGACCCGAGCACGCCCCGCAGCGCACGCCGGCTGCCGACGCGCCCGCCCGGCCGCCCGGCCGGCCCCGCTGGAGTTCGTCCGGGTCGGATCACAGCGCCGCGCGCGGGCGCCTGCAGACACAGTCGGCGCCGCCCACATGTAGACCAGGTGTGTTTGAAGGTGGGGTCGAAGTCCTCGGGCTGACTTGGACGCCGGGGTGAGCGGCGCTGGCCGGCGGCCGCTGCCGCACCGACCCGTGCCGCTGCCCCGGCGCCCTACGCCACTGCTGTCACAGACCAACCGGTACGGTACGCCGGTACGGGTACCAGGGGACTGCCGGCACAGTTCTAGAGATCGCTGTCACGGATCCTTTGACCGCCTGCACGAATTCAAGCCCGGCTGGCACGAATCCCGGGATTGCCGGCATGGATCCAGGGGTGCCGGTGCGGAAGCAGGGACACGTGGCACGGATCCAGGGACCATCGGCACGGATGCATGCACGGCCGGCGCATGTCCCAAGAGTAATGGTGCGGCCGTTCTGGGATCAAAGGCACAGCAGAGTCACGGAGAGCCGGCCCCGACCTTCAGCCCCGCCGCCGGGCCGGTCCAGGCGGCGCTCTCCGCCCGGCGGGACCGGACGGCGGCGGCGCCGACGGCTGCTCGCCTGTTCTCTATTCCTGACTGTCGACCAGTCCTCCGTAAATAAACAGCCGCACCGTCCGTCGCCGGACGACGGCGGGGGGCGGCGCTCTGCCCGGATTACAGCCGGTGCGTCGTCGGCCTGGCACCTGTGGTCAAGGTCTGTCCTGGAGCGCTGGGAACTGTGCCGACGTTCCCCGCGGGCGGCGCTCGCTGGCGGGGAGCGGTCGGACGCGTCGGCAGGACGCCCCCGTCCGGCCGCCCACTCGCTGTGTATTTGGACAGCAGCGCAGCGCTGCTGCCGCGCCGCTGACCGCCGGTACGGGGCCGGTAGCAGGACGCCACATGGGTCCCGCACGGGGTCTGGGACCGTCACGACAGCTTCAGGGCCGGTAGCGACATCATTACCCGGAGCTGAGACCGAAGGCGCCGCTTTGTCTCGTGTGGTCCGTGTGAAAGTCAAAACTTCCCATATAATAATTGCAGGCTAAAGAAACAGTCATCGCAAAAAGAACTTCACCAAATAAACCAGAACTTCCTTCCACTTCTCAAGCAGTTACTAAATCTATCACAATAGAATAATACAATATCGATATATATATATATATATATATATATATATATATATATATATATATCAATAACAATATAACAATGAAACCAATTTCCAGTTTGTACAATTCCTTACATGCTGATGGCTGACAGTCTAAGTAGTTGCGCTATGCAACTGGATGCACCGGTGTAAATTCAAAATAGTTTGCCAATTAAGCAAGCACTCCAGCATGTAGGGTGTCTCGATTCGGTACGAGAGACAGGACTTCGGAGCAGTGTACACATTTCTAAACAGTTTGTTAACATGCATAGGCGTGCTGATGTAAAATGTCAGCATTCACCTGACTGTGAGAAGAGGGCGCAATCGAGAAAAAAAACATTATCAACAAACTAATTAAGCCGTCTGGCACAGTTGGCCACACATGCAGTACAACGGTATATTACCGCTGAAACTTGAACAGAGACCACCATGGAACACCAAGATGCAGATGTTCCACTCGTAAACGGGACAGCAGCACCAGCTGGCTGCCGCTGACGGGAGCTCACCATAGAACACCAAGACGCAGACGTTTCGCTCGTAAACGGGATAGCAGCACCAGCTGGCTGCCGCTGACGGTAGCTCACCATGGAACACCAAGACGTAGACGTTCCGCTCGTAAACGGGATAGCAGCACCAGCTGGCTGCCGCTGACGGGAGCTCACCATAGAACACCAAGACGTAGACGTTCCGCTCGTAAACGGGACAGCAGCACCAGCTGGCTGCCGCTGACGGGAGCTCACCATGGAACACCAAGACGTAGACGTTCCGCTCGTAAACGGGACAGCAGCACCAGCTGGCTGCCGCTGACGGGAGCTCACCATGGAACACCAAGACGCAGACGTTCCGCTCGTAAACGGGATAGCAGCACCAGCTGTCTGCCGCTGGCGGGCTCGGAGGGCGCTGGTCACTGTTTACGGCTGCCGCTTCGGTTAAAGTAGCTGGTCATCACACCCGACCGCCGTCCAACACGGAGCTGAACCCCCGACCTTGGCCTCATTGCAGGTGATATCATGCGACATTGTTGACGTTTGGCCGGCTCAATGACG